AATAATAAAAAAATAAAATTTGATTCTTGTGCAGCTTCATCTATATCATTAACTGTTTTTGGTTTTTTAATGGTTTTTCTTAGTGATGAAAATTCCGATATCTCACGGTTATCGATTCTTTTTTTCTCTCCAGAAATGCGGACGACAGTGTTTTTAGATACTCCTGTGGCTGCAGCAACACGATCATTTACATTTTTAAATGGTATTGAAGGTGAATTAAAGTTTCCTTCTCTTCTCATAAACTCTATAACATTGGCTATTATTTCGCGAGATTGACTGTTAATCACGCGGCCTCTTAATTTGCTATTAAACTCCATACTTAGGTTCTATTAAACTGTAATGAGCAAAAAACACAAACGAAAATAAAAGAAATGTTTTAGCGAAATTTATATCTGACATTTACGTCTGAATGAAATAGTGAAATACTTGATGCGCAGAGTGTACTTTCATTGCGTAAATCCATCGGGATGCCTGTCAGTAGTGCTTTCTCTGTCTAGCCGTCGAAAGCCTCTAGAAATTTGATGAACTTTTTTTGTAAAATTCGATAAATCTGAACAGGCACCACATGGACTCAACAAATTCATGCCATCAAAGAAAGAGCCAAAAAGGAAGGAAGTTCCTTGATTTAATGGCCGACCAATATTGCCAACTATTGAAATTTTAGGGGAAAATTGCATCTGTTCAAATAATAAATCATAACCTTGCCATAGAACATTTAAGAAATGAAATAGGTCCTAGTTACACTAGAAGAAGAAAGGTCAAGGTTGACAGATGATTGTCAGGATGAAATGTTTACCTTTTCTGTAGGTTAACCAAACTTTAAACTATTAAATTATCAACTTCTAAATCTGTTTTATTTTCAAAAGGGTGAGTATCATTTAATCGATTTATATATTTATTTTCTCCTATTTAAATTAAAACCGTAACAGGATATAATTTTAAATATAATTAATGTTTAATATATAGGTTAAGTTGAAAAACAGCCTTGTGCTGAACTTCGCCTTTTCATCATTTTCCTTCTTTTTTTTGTTATTGTAAATGTGTAACTATGATGAATAAAGACCATTTATTATTATTATTATTATTATTTGTGGTACAAGTAATTAATTATTTGTCAGTTTGAATTTTTGTAATTTGGTATAATTTCAGAAAGGATTGCAATCTATAATTACGATACTTACCAAACATAATCATATTCTTGAATCAGCTAAGACACTTCGATTTTTTCAAGCCAAGCCATGTGTAAATGATTTGTTATTCGAATATTTCAATGATAGTATAACAATAACAAGTGAAAACATTCATCTGCAGCAGTGTGAATTTGATGAGAATACGGTATTGATTTTAGCCAGTGGAAGTAAAAGTCTTACTTATAGAACGATGCAAAATTAATGGAGAAATTTAAACTTGGCACCAAGGTCAGGAGAAGGGTTATTCAAAGTAAGTCTTTCATCTTTTAAGAAACGTTTAAGGACAGCGTCTCCTAGGAATTTCTGAACAAAATTATGTCAATTTAGATTCAATCAAGGAGGTGCTGTTACCTACCGACTAGAGATTGAATTAGTGCAAACTATTACAGAAATCTTTAAGTAACTATAAATATCGACCGACTAGCTATTAGGGGATATTGTATTATAAACCGGTTTTTAGTAGACTGAGTTCGAAGGATCATAATAATAGTCCTGAACATAAAATCTATTTTTCAATAATTGCCGGGATTTTACCAAATAAAAAAAAAATATTTCGCGATTGTGAAAACGGTCCAATCGTTTCATATGCCATTTATAATATTATAAAAATGTTAACTCTAGGACTCATTTTGGAGTATGAGCATACTTTATTTCAATACTTTTATTCATAAAGTATTACCTACCTATTACATTTTATTTTTAACGAAAATCGACTTTGTTTCCTGGACCAAAGTAAAGAATGTAGGTAGGTATTATGCAGATGGCAACAACAAAAACGATATCTTGCCTCACATTAAATATAAATATTTCCTAAAACAAATAATTTGGTTTATATACGGGTAGCAATACGAGGGATGTTTATAATTTCAAGTCACGAATATAGAGTCGTTTCAAAATATATTGCCACAATAATTGCGTCACATTGAGTCGGAGTGGGACGCTTGACGTGTCGCAATTCGCAATATATTTTAAAACTATTCTACCTAATTAATAAATTGTGATTTTGAAGTATCGAATGAAAACTATATTCTCATTGGTTAAAGATGGAAGTTTTTGTCATTTGAATGTTCAGGAATATTAATTGTGATTAATTGGTTAAATACCGAAGTTATCTGTGATCTGATGTTGGTACTAACCTAATGTTTTTGGGTAATTTTGACGGTCATTTCCTGGAATTTCCAGGCCCGCATAAATATTTATCCTATTAAAGTACAAAAACCCTACAATAGATATTATGAGTAGGTATTTAACATTCATTTATCTTATCTTATCTTAGGTAGTTATTTCCTAGAAAAATTTCCCTGATTGTCAATAACACATTACCGTATATCTGTGCCAATATGACGTCACGACTTTTAATATACTTAATGAAGGCTGGGGGAAGGAGTTAAGAGTCTATAAATTTACAAACAAGCTTACGGGTATTTAGTTTTCAAAATTACATCACACGTTTCTGAAGTGTTTTATTGTGCTGTTTGTTTTTAATAAGTGTTATTTTCTTTAATAGAAAATTGATTTATTTGTGCCAAGTGTCCTAGTGAGTTTCATTGTACATTTTAATCAGTTTTATTTTTGGATAAATTGACATCGATTTCCTGCATTAAAGGTAGGTAGTATTTTTTTTCTATCACTCTCGAGTTCGTCATTGAATACAAAAATTAAACGCTATAATTTTAACATTCAAATATTTGCAATTAAAAAATAGTATTACGTATTAAATTTGACAATAAAAAAAATTGTTATTTAATAATAATGTTTCATTATTCTGAATATATTTTTTCTACGATCAATATCCAAAGTAGGTAGGCTTTTGCACATTAAAATCTAAATAAAAAGTTGACGTTTTCTGCGAATTGTCATAATTTGACATTATTGGCGCACATTACCTAATATTCAAACCCATTTCCATGCTTAAAAATAGAAGATGGTGACATTCATTTAAAAGAAAACCATAACTACTTTTACCAGGTGAAAAATTTCAATATGTTAAAATAATTCATGATTTTTAAGAAATGTGCTAGAAATGATACTACAATATTAATATTCTTTTTATGTTTGATTTTCTAATAATGATTTTATATACTTTTAGATTCAAGGACAGCTAGGTATAGCTCAAAGAAAATTGTGCTACTTTGTAGTATATACTGGAGATAAAAATCCACTATTTGTTGAAAAAATTCATTTTCAAACCATTTTTTTTTAAAATATGGTTGAAAAATTAGAAAAATTTTACTCGGAATATATGGCACCTGAGATAATTTTAAATAGAAGAGGACGAGGATTAAAATGTCTGGATACCCCATATAATGAAACTTAAAGTGCAAAGATTAGCAAATTTATAAAAATTATAATTTAATGGACTTTAATGATACAAGTACTTGAAATAATGTTTTTTTTTGGGCAGAAGCATGTTCATACGTAATTTGCAATTGGTAATCACTAAACACAGTTGGAAAAGTATATACGTCAACGATATGTTCTCTTATTTTTGATTTATTTTAACAGGTATAATATATGGTATGTTACTTATAGTATAGATTTTTTTATTTCTCGACCTAATTTATTTGTTACGTCTTCAGCAATTGTCGCTTTCAGTTGACATAAACGAAATTGATAAAAAGTGTTTTTCGCATTTTATTTTGACTGTTTCTCTCACTTTCGAATAGAAACTGAGCTTTGTAAACATAAAATAACGGATATGTCAAACTAAAACTGCCGGTAAAATGAAACATTGAGTATCGTTAAATGCAACTTTTGAACTAGTTTCAAAAATAGCATTAAAATGATATTATCATTCACAATGTACTAATTTCCTATACTTTTAGTTGATAAATAACCGATAATCATACATCATATAACAAATAGGCGCGTGTCAAAAGGTCAGAAAAAAGAGTGCCGATGAAAAAAGATCGTTTCCAATTGTATCATATAAACAGTATCAGAGGCAGTATTATCATCTCGTATATCCCCCGTAAACACACTTAATATAAACGGAAATAATCAAATACTAGTCAAAATATTATCGATCGGAGCACCATCTTTATTACATTACATGAAGTAATTATTGATTTTTCGGGGTTTATTTAGAGTTAAATTAGACGCCATTTTTGGTCCAAATTCGTTTTGACATGTTTTTTCAAAGAAAGTGACTTATAAATTTCAAATCTACACGTTTTGAAAAATATACAATATTTAAATATTCTGAGTGTACCAAATTCCAAGTAAAGGTTGAACTTAGCTCGTATTACATTTTTTTTTTTATTATTTGTTTGACATCGAGGTTAAAATAATTCTAGACGGCACCTTTGAGATGAAATAAAAGGGGGTTATTTTACATGATTGGTTTTTATTGAAAATAATAAATTTATTAATTTTCAATAGTAAGGTGACCTAAGTTAGACCTTTATTTTTAATTTGGCCAAAAATTAGATTTTTAAACACTACATATTCGGATAATTGTCGATTTAACTTTTGGTCTACACATACAATTTTAATACACAGGGATACCCCGTCCTTAATACTGAATTTATTGAGTAGGGACGATTCAATATGAGCAATAACAAGTAAAGTATCGAAACTGTTCCAAAGTACTTTCAAATACAATTTATTTATTTTATTTATTTAAATTAAATTTAATAACAATGTATGTGTACAAATGTTTTGAAAAATTATAAAATAAGTTAGGCGCCTAGGTCTTAACCGGAATATAATGTTTATTTTGAAGATATAAAAAAGAAAATATATAAAAATGAAAGGGTGTATAACTAATGTTGATTTTCTAATGTAGATTGGACCATTAAAAGAAATAGAAAAAGCAAGGAGTAATTGTGACATTCTTTATTCCAATTTACATTTTATATAAAATACAGTATTATTTAACCTAATTTTTTCTTTATGCATTATGATATTAAATGCTACCTAGAATGTTTTACCAAAGTAAAACCACATAATTTAAAACATAAACAATGTTAACATTTACTACCTCTCCTGCTCTGCACCAAAATTTTCATAAAATGTTGCATAGTTTCCTGATTTTCCATAAAAGCATTTTTCATTTCTTGTATAGAATCTTTTAAATACTCTATCTCATCGTTTTTCCTTCTGATCTCTTCCTGTATCAATTCAAATGATTCATTATTAAAACAACTATTTTTAGTTTCATCGTTATTAAACCAATAATACCCCAAACCTTCGCTTGGGCTGTGCATGGAATTTTGGAAGTGTTTTTGTTTTTTGGACACCTCAAATGCACCCTTAATTATGTCTTTTGGTAATCGAGTTTCTTTTGGATTCAACGGTTTAACATTTAGAACAACTTTTGATGGTTTTGGAGATACCAAAGCTGAAACATGGAGGGGTTTTAATATGTATTTTGGCAAACTGCCATTAAAAAGCCCTTTCTCCATGTGGGATATAAGCTTTGTTTGTCTGACCAGTTTCGATAAAGTCGCAGTTTTTTGTAATCCTTTGATATCGTCCACTGCTATACCAGCCAGTAAATTCATGAGGATTATAGTAACAGATAGAACAAAAATGATATAAGTTACTTGCGCGCTAAATTCTAGTAGATAATGAGGATCATCAGGATTGTCATCTACCAGTATATCTAAGTTCAATTCACCTGACAACATTACGATAATAGTAATAAGCGATATGAAAGGATTAGCAAAGAAGTTAGAATCTGGAAATATTACACAAAAACTTAGCGTAAATCCAATTAGAAGACCAGAGTAGGCTAACAGTAACTTAGCAAATTCACTTTGCACTCTTGTATACATTGCGACATATGTACCAAAAATAGGCAACTGTCCCACCATTAGCATGATGTTGGTCCAACCTAACAGAATCGCGAATGCTCCAACATGATTTTGCCATAAATAAGTTCTTCCGGTGTAGAGAAAAGAAATAACGAAAACGCTAGCTATAACTGTCCATTCAATAATATTTTCTGTGTAAGAGAAATACTGAATGGCAGAATGGTAGCCTCCTATACCATATAGCTTTCTTAAAATTTCTAAAAAAGTTATACCGAGCAGAACAAAATATTGCATTTCTATTACAAACGCACTGTCCCTTAAAATCCTGCCTAGTATTGATTTTTTCTCGCACAGCTCAATCACATCCTCCGGCTTCATTTCATTAAAATTCTTGCCGTAATTGTAACAATGGTGAGCCAGAGCTGTAAGAACGTACAGTGATAAACTCACTACAAAAATGCAATAAAACAGAATCCTTGCTAAATAGTATTTCCTAATTTTCTCCCATTTGAGATACAACAGAGCAGAGCATAAAGGATGGAGAAGAACAGTTTTGTACCCTTCTTCTACTAAAGTGTAAAGAAAATTTATTTCCCCAGGATGATCATGCTCTAAAATTACCCGAAAATCCAATCTTAATTCCAGTTCATGATTGGAGGAAGAATCAACATTGTGTAAAGAGATAGCGTTATCTAATTTCTTAGTAAACATAGAAAATGCTAATGGGACTTTCTTTCGTATAATGCTCAATGCTGTCATTCCACATTTGGTTTTGGCTGTTACGTCAGCGTCGTAGTAGATCAACGCTTCGACGCATTCTGATAAACCTTTTAAAGCAGCTATATGTAAAGGAGTGTAACCGTATTGGTCCGCGGCATTAGGATTGGCTCCGTTTAAGATTAAAGTTTCAATAATTTTACTAGATTGGCTAGATTTGCCTATAGCAGCATGCAGAGGAGTTCTCTTATCGTAGTCCTCTATATCAGGATCGGCTTTCCCTTTCGTGAGTAGTAGTTCGAGGCAACCGTGGTCTTGAGTTCTTGCTGCTAGGTGTAAGGGAGTTTGGCCTCTGTGGTCTTTTGAATTGGCGTTGGCTCCTCTATCTAATAGGATGTTCTGGCAGTCTGTGTATCCGCCTGTTGAAGCTAGATGTAGCGGTGTTTGTTCTTGTTCTTTAGTTTTGGAATTAACGGAAGCTCCTTTGGCATCGAGAAGGTATCTTGAAATAAAAATAATCAATTTAAAAATAAATTAAATTAAAAAAAATAATAAGGATATATTTAAAAATTGTTAGAACCATAGCTAAAATTAAATAAATAAATAAAGGATACTCTCGGAATTTTCAACTTCTTTATATCTACTGTGTTATTAGTACGATACACAGCAAGCAAATTAGGTCGTTTTTTGAAAATTAAAACAAATAATATTGAAGACTCCATTGCAGGTTAAAAGTCAAAATATCCGTGGTTAAATAGACAGGACCGTATTTTCACGTTCACATATTTTAACTTTGTTTATATTAGTTATAGGATATGTGATTTGGCCATTATTCCTAGACTCAAGATCAGCTAGCACCACAGAGTTACAAAATATTTAATAATTTTATGTAACGTTACAAAAATTTGTTATACTTCTTAAAATACTAATCTTAAAAAATTGATTACAAATCTTATACTTCAAAATTTGTTCAACTGGTGGGGTTATTTTTTTAATATGAACAAAAATTCTTCAAAAAAATTGAAAGCAGTTAAAAACAAATATATCCACTAAACTCCCCACCGGCGGAACGCTACAAGATCCTGCCCACATATGGCACAATTGTGCAATTGTTTACAGCAGGGCCAGTCCCAGGGTAGGGCGATCCGGACGGCCGTCCGGAGCGCAATGATCTAGGGACGCCAAAATCATGGAAAATGAAAATAAACTGAAAAAAAAATTAAGTTACAGACTTTTATAAAATGCACTAAAAAGTAAAGAATATTTTTTTATCATTTTGATATTATATCAATAAATTATTTTTCATAATATTGCATTGTCATCGGACCCTTGTAAGTATACCAAATTTCATTAAAATCGGTTCACAGGAATTTTCTCAAAAACGCGCTGCAAGATTTGACTGATAGTTGACAAAATTTAGACGCGGCAGGCGGAGTTTATCGTTTTTATTTCTAAGAACATAATTCAAATAATATAATATATTTAAACATTAAGGCAAAATCTAGTTGAATTCAATTCAACATGACAAAACCACTCAACCACCGCCTTTCAAGAATTGACAAGTTTTTCGGCCCGTGGCAACACGACTTTACAGGAAACAACAATTTTGAAACCAAGCGAAACAAGATCTAACAGCCCTTTTTAACTGCATATAGGTCGGGAAATATCAGGAGATGGTATATGTCCAGGAACTCGCAAAGTCGAAGCGCTCATCCAACGAGAAGCGTCGTGACAGTATTAACTTTGCTAAAAGAGAATTTGTTCTAATGCACCGAGATGAGAAAATGCACCAAGGAAAACTTAAGAGGATGGCCGAACGACTGGTCTCTTACTCTGGACATGCTTGATTTATTAGAGATGCTAGAAGAAGATCTATGTTAGTAATTGTCTACATCTTGCAAAAAAACGCACGGTACGTGTTAGATGTATTATTATGATTAGTTTATTGTCTTTATTTTAACATCTTACTTGTTTTTATGTTTATTTAAACTTTGTATGTGAATGATTTTGTGTTGAAAGCTTATACGCTTTGCACTGTTGAGACGTTGAAAGCTTGTACGCTTTGCGTTTGTTTTATTTGTGTTGAAAACTTATACGCTTTGCACTGTTGATACGTTGAAAGCTTGTACGCTTTCCGTTTGTATTATTTGTGTTAACAGCTTGTACGCTTTGCACTGTTTAAACATTGAAAGCTTGTACGCTTTGCGATTGTTTTATTTGTGTTGAAAGCTTATACGCTTTGCACTGTTTAAACGTTGAAAGCTTATACGCTTTGCGTTTGTTTTATTTGTTTTCAAAGTCTATACACTTTGCGCTGTTAAAATGTTGAAAGCTTGTACGTTTTGCACTGTTGAAAGCTTGTACGCGTTGAGTTTGTGTTATTTGTGTTAAAAGATTGTGCGCTTTACACAGTTTAAACAATAATAGCAATATGCTTCTTTTAATTTTTTTGTATAAGAACGCATGTAGCCTGTAAATTTGAAAGTATGAACTTTGCTCTTGTTTGAAATTAAATCTTGGAGATTTGCTTTTGTTTCAATAATATTTTATTAAACAATTCAAAAAGCGTGCTAGTGTTGAATAATTGGTATATGAATACTTGATTGTGCATATATCTGCATACTCTTTAACAGCGCCATAAATGACTTAATAAGGGAGTCGATGTAAGAGTGGACGATCTTGTTTTAATTAAAGAGGATAATACTCTTTCTCTCCGATGGAGACGAGGGCGCATTATTAGTAATCATCCCAGTTCTGATGGAATACCTAGAGTCGCAACTGTTAAAACTACTGAAGGTTCGCTTGCACGACCGTTGGTAAAACTTTGTCTCCTCCCCGCAGTGAACAAGTAATCACATGGTTTTTTTATTTTTTTTATCTTTTATTTTATATTTTCTCTTAAATTGCTCAGTTTTAGTAAATTTTTCTTTATTTTGCATAATGTATTTTAGGAAAATACTATGTATTTTGGTGGGGGGTATGTTAAGTCTTCACTTATTTAGTATATGTAAGTTTAAATTAAATATTATCATCCAGTATGAAACGTAATATTTCACTTATATTTATTATTCTCATTACTTATACTTCGCCAAGATGGTATTTCACTAATTGGTAAAAGACCCTTCGAATAACGATTCTTGGATTCAAACGGTCGAACTTCAGTATCGCCGAAAATTTCGTAAAATACAGTCGTGTATTCGAGCTTTGTGATATTTTGGTACAAACCCGCAAATTACATTTACGAACATTCAAATACTACCCCTGATACAGTCCACGACCCTTGCAGCTTAGGATGGACGCGCCAAGAAGAGAAGTCTACGTCAGGAAGCCAAGGAAATTAAAGGTAGGGACCGTTAGCTTAACCATAACCTATTCAGTAATATTTTTCCTACTGAATGGTAACATGCTTTTGTGATCCCTATTCCTAAAAATACGCGCCCTACTCAATTTTCGAATCTAAGAAGCATTAGTAATCTTCCCACAATGTCGAAATTATTTGAAACAGTTTTAGAAAAGCGCATTTCCTTTTATGTCACAAATTTAATATCTTGCCCTTAAACCAATCAGGGTTTAGAAGCGGATACAGTTGCATAACGGCCCTTACTTCTGTAACAGATGACATAATGCAATCATTAGATAATAATGATGCATGTATTCTAGTACTAACTGACTAAACTGACTAAATATCAAAAAAACGAACTATATAGCATTCTCTAAAACATTAGCTGATCGCCCTCATTTTAAAGAAATAGTTACCAGTAATTTGGACTCTAAAATACAAGAAACAGAAACTTCTAAATACTTGGGTATAATTATAGACCAACATCTAAAATGGGACTCTCATATAGCATATATATCAAAAAAGCTTAGATTTATAATCTATAAATTTTATCTTTTAAAACAATTTCTTAACCAAAATCTCTTAATAAGCCTATATTTTAGCTTGGTAGAATCTATTCTACGTTATGGTATACTAGTATGGGGAGGCCTATATGAAACAACCCTTAGACCACTAAATGTCATACAAAATAAAATAGTGAAAATTATTTTCAACAAACAGCGATTATATCCTACTATTCTACTATATAATGAAACAATATCTAATGTTAGAAGTTTATACATGAACACAATATGCTGTTACATACAAAAACATGAGGTACTAAAAAAACCTCTGGGTCATCAACATAAAACCAGAACTTTTAGTAACTTGAATATTAAAATATCTATGCCTAATAGTGAATCTTTCAAAAATTGTATAAATTACTTAGGACCAAAGTGTTACAATGCTTTACCTCCTGAGATCAAATTAATTAACAAACAACATTTATTTAAGAAAACGTGCAAATCCTTCATCTACCAAAACTACTCAAAATTGTATAGATTCTTCTTAGAATAATACACATCTCACTGTAATATGTTGGAATCCTGTAGATTACAAGATTATAACATTATTACATATTCTATAATATAACATTGCTGCCTTATTACATTTAACATTTATATAAAAATACATTAACTTTATATTTTAGTTTTTTAATCTTTATGTATTAGTTTTTTTAGTCTGTCTAGCACATACAGGTGCCCACACCTAGGTGCTAACTTATTTACCTATGATTAATTTATAATTTGTTTATTGTTTATTGTTTGTTTATTATGTACAAACTGTGGTAAAAATAAAGATGAAACACATATATGCCGCGATCCTCAAGACAACTGTTGCATATATTGTAAAACTAACTCTCATAAGTAGAGGGCGGAATATATGCATCAAAATATAACAAAATATGCGCATATATATGCATCGTTTTTACCAAAAATATGCAGTTATTTTGTCCAATTATGCCTAAATATGCAAATGCATATTTGTTAAAAATACTTAAAAAAAAGTAGGGGGTGGGTAGCTCAGTGGTTAGTGCGTTGGCCTGTGGACTTAGGGGTTTCGGGTTCAAATTCCAGCCGGGACGCGATTTTTTAAATTAATTTATTTAAAAATTAATTCTGATGCCTAGCGAATATTTCCACTTGACCATTCACTGTTGGGTTCTAATTAACATTGCTGTTCTCAATTTGGTACGCTATCAAAGCCATTACACGAAAAAAAAACAAAAGAAAATATGTAATATAAAAATTTATTTAAAACAAACGAAACACAAAAACTAGTAGAAGTTAAGTATAGAATAGTATAAAAATATTAAATAGTAATATTATAATAGGAATTTATAATTAAATATTTTTCGAAATTTTCTATTAAAAACTTTTGTCTTCTGTTTGTAAAAATATGTTTTGATATAGAAAAGGTCCATTCAACATCTACCGAAGTAATAGGACAATACCGTAATTTTGGAAGTAATGTACAGGGTCAACGTAAAACTTCTTTGGAAAATTTTCCCTCAAAAATGTTTTTCACTTCCCTTATTTCATTGAACCCTTCATTCTTTAATAAAGTTGTATTTAATTTTTTTCTAATCTTAAGGTCTATGTCACCAGGAACATTGTTACATT